AACATACCACGTGACACACAAAAATCGATGTTTAACCGTGTTTTTTTTTTTTAATTAAGAAATTGAATAATGTATAATTTACAGTTTGATACCAAACTTATTGACATAAGTTCACGAAATAGTAGTTAAATAAAATTTTGAATGAGAGTCAACAAATGCGTCTTTGAACCGTGACCCGTCTGGAAGGGATTAAGTGTTAATTACAAGTTCTGCACTACTTTCTTTATCTAATAATGAATTACATTTTCTGGCTTGTTTTGTATTTAAACCTATCTTTAATTGATACAATAGGAAGAAATCTCGAGGGAAAACATTTTCAATGTGATAGAAACACCGAAGGGGCACTCTGTAAAGTGTATCTGTATATCCATCATTGTCAACATACATAGAGTAATAATATTCTATATCTGTCCACCAGGTTTCATCAAAATCTGATCATTTTTGACCGAGTTATAAAGCAAAAATAGTGTGAAAAATTTGTCCCCATATTAACAGATAGGGATTTTTTTTTTCAGTTTTGTGACCTTGACCCTCCAAAAACTAATCACATCTAAGTTGGGTCATAGTACAAATTCATTCGGCTGTTTTCAATAAATCTTGCTGACAAACACATACATAGGTAAAAACATAACCAGTGTCACCTTCGGTGGTAGAGGTAAAAAAAAAAAATGTTTACAATTCTCTTAGAAGTGACTTGAGTGTTTATGATCCATTATTTAACAGTAGCACGCTGTAATTTCTTACTTTTCGATTGATGATGGAGTGCACCACTGCTCGCCCGTCTCTAATCATCAGAATGAATTTTGCGTTTGGGAAAAGAGAGTGAAGGTAAACTGCCGAGCGAAGAGTGAACGGGTCTTTGTTACACAGCCGAGGGGCTGGTTCCCCATGACGAGCAATGACTTCAAGAATGAAAGACCCAACAGCTGCGTCTAACACCTAGAAAAAGAGCAGTGGTGAAATATATACACACACACATGTATTTCTTCTTGAAGCCGGTAGTCAGTGAATATGGTGAAGTACATATACGTTTCAAACGATATATTTATTAATTACTGTTTCTTATCTTTATCTAGAGGATTAATCCATTACATATTAGTTATGCACTTGACATCTACTTCCTTAAATAGGAATACAATAAGTTCTTAATCTTGGCAATTATCTGAACATCATATTCCCATGAGTTTACCTTCCCAGTAATTCCAGCCTCCTGTAAGCGACGGGCTTCAATGGGTGCCTTCACCCACTGCTGTTTCATGCCCAGAAGACGAGGAATCACGCGGGTCTCCTCTCCACAGCGTATGTCCGGGTGAGCATCAAGAAGCACTCTCAACAGTGTTGTCCCACTTCTCGGCATGCCACCAATAAAAATGAGTGGCATGTTATTATCGTACGTATACTTGGCTGCATTTGATCCGATCATGTATTTCTAGGTTAACAAGAGAAAATATTGAAATTAGATGTCAAAAGAAATGTACCAATTGACATATCTGGATTTCTTAACGCGGTGTGCAACAGCATAGAGAAACAATGACTACACTTGTAAAATATAATTCCTCTAATATTTATTATTAAACTAAACCTAGCACACTTAATCCCCCATTTCTCAGAAGTAATACTCTGTCAAATTAAAATAAAATGTATACACAAGTTCACTAGTATCAGAGTAAAAAAACAAAGTTAAAAACTTTACAGATTTGTGGCTATATTAGTGGGTGTACATGTAAAGAGAATACAGGTGAAATTGTTTCGTGTCTAGTAAGCACACTTTTTAAATGTAATAAAACTCGATGTTTGACTATAAGATTATTCTGTTGATACTTCAAGTTCTTACAAAGTTGTAAAGGCAAGTCCGAGTCCACCTTGAGTTACAAATACTGTACTTCTACAAACATTTGAATTTTGAACTATATAAAGTTTATCAGTTACACAACTAAAGATGCCCCCCCCCCCACACACACACTTCCCAATACATAAATTGTTACGTACCTCAGGAGTCACCATGACAGCAGCAGGCCCATATTCATTACAGGAAGAATTGATATGATATAAAACTAAAGAAGCTCCCCACACACTTCCCAATACATAAAGTGTTACGTACCTCAGGAGACACCATGACGGCGGCAGGCCCATATTCATTACAGGAAGAATTGATATGATATAAAACTAAAGAAGCCCCCCACACACTTCCCAATACATAAAGTGTTACGTACCTCAGGAGACAC